GATGGATGGATGGATGGATGGATGAATGGATGGATGGATGGATGGATGGATCATTATGTTTGACTGAAGGAGTACTAGTGCTATGACAAAATGTCTCAGGGGGTACAGAAGTCTAAAAAAGTTGGGAACTACTGTTCAAAGTTGTAAAAACAACTCATTGTGAATAATGGTGGGTTGTACAGTTAAAAAAACTCCTATTTTAATGTGATTTTAGGCCTGCTGTATTGGTACAGAAGGTCAAAAATAACTTCAAATTTGCACATGGTAGGCTGTGCTGAAGAAAATGACACCAAACGTGGCAGGTTAAACCATGAAATATGAAGGTAAAATTAAAATTACTCCAAAAACGACAAACTTTACCCTGGACCACAGAGAATTAATACAAAACATTTTATTTTCTTTAAATCTTTGTCCTGTGTTTTTTTCAGAATCGGCCAACTAAAGGCAAAATAACTCAATTATTTATGCAGTATCGGTATTGAAATTGATGATGTACTTAGTATTGGACTGATACCATAATTCCTAGTATCGCCCTGATAAAAGTTTGKTAAAGATGCTCAGCTGGGTCTTTGTGTCCAGTGACAGAAAGGAGGTCGTTCCACAGATACAGTAGGTCCAGTTCATGAGGCCCAGAGGGATTCCTGACTTTAGTCTCCATGGAATCATTGATAGAGCTTGAGGAGAGCAGAGACGGTTCTTTCTGACTCACTAGCCATTTAGWTGCAATAAAGACAGCAAATGAGGGGCAAAGAAAGTTACAATGTAAGTATTGGGAGTGCTTTTATTTTTGAAATGCTGTATCAGAAGTTGCTCAAAATTGTTGAGGAACATCTAGAGGACTTCTAGTCAGACTGAAGTGAGATCAGTCAACGAAACTGCTGACCAYGTGTCCGGCACAGCTGCACTAATGAAGCCACTAAACCAGTGTGAACTCTCAGCCGATCCTTGATTAGACTGAAACGATGAGCTTTATTAATAATACAGCATCAGACACTTTGACTACTCATTTATTCATGGCTGCCCTTTCTGCTTGTTTACAGATCMGACGCAGGAGGCCCACACCCGCCACGCTCTTCAGAGTCGCCGACCAGCCGTCTCCCGAGGACGATCAGTCCAGTCATCAGGTGAAGGTGAAGATGCCACGTTTTTCTTCTTCTTCTTCTTCTTCTGCACATTTTTTAATGCTCACCTCTCCTGTTAGTTTCCATCAATCTTTGTAATCTTTTACTTCAGGGGTGTCACTTATAATGAACTTCAACGTTTCATGTTTAACTTCGACTAAACCTGAAATGCCACCTTCCTGGTCTTGCTATGCCAGAACCCCACTAACAAATTACTGAGCTCTATGTGGTATTTTGTGCAAAGAAACAGTGTTTTGATGTCCTCTTACAAACACTGAAAGTACTAATTGTAAAATATTACAGAAACACTATAATTAGTAAAAGTAAGAGTTTTACTCACTGTTGAGTTGTGGTGAGTAGCTTCCATCTCAAAATCTGAATGCTCCCATTTTCTGATGGGAAATTCCCACTGGCGGGGTGTTTCAGTTTAAATTTATGACTCGTAAGTGGGAAATTCCCACTTCCTATTACAATTAGGATGTAGCAAAGTAGCAGGTTAAAATGCAGCGAAATGTAGATTTTACAMTGCCGCTTTTGAAGCCYGTGCAGCTCCACCTAGTGGTGGGAGGCCATCTTTTTGTTTTTAAAATAATGCATTATGTAGTTTATGGTCAATWCTGGCTTTAMAGAAGCTTATTTTAAGACATTAATACGGGGCTATTCAATTAAATTGATCAAGGGGCCACAGTTACTCAAAACCAATGGCTCRGGCCAGACAAGTATTATTATTTTTCACCTTTAAAATTTGTTTATATTGTTACAAGGGGCGGGGCCACTCATYAACTCAAGGACCGCGAGCCACGTTTGGCCCACGGCCTTAAGTTTGACACGTGTTTGGTATTAGCCCTGTACTGTGGAATCCACAAACTCAGTGTTTTTGTGATTTATCCAAATTTGTAAATGGGCTTAATTAATTTTAATAAAATAAAATTCTAATATTTTAATTAAAATTGGACTGGAACACGAACATAAACATTTGGACCGTGGCCTCAGATTTGGAGGTGCTGACCCTGAGGTCACAGAATCGGACCCCAGAAATTCTGTCCATAAAAACTAACAAACAGAATACTTCGATAACAAAACAAGTGGACTAGTAATTGTTCAGTAAATGTAAATATAGTGGGAAAACATAAMTACTTTGGTGTTTTTCTCTGCTTGCTCTTCTGTTTCTCCTGACAGTGGGTYGTGGGAGAAAACGGCATGCTCAAACCAAAACGTGTGAATCCAAGCGTGTATCAGCCTCCGTCACTAAAAGGTTGGTCCAAACCGCTTCGGTTCTGCAGGTGGTGGGTGCGTGGATTGTGATTTATCCTTTTGTTTAAATCCTTCCCTCTTTTACCGCGCTTCGCTGCAGCCTTCATCCTCCTTGCTTTATGATGCAGGCTAGGAGGGGAATAAAAATGCATGTGACAGATGGGTAGCAATAAAAAGCTTTATATTTTCTTTCTTAATGCACTTGTATGGTATGCACGCTTCTATATGTTTATTAAAACACTGAAAAAGCAGAGTCTGTGAGGAGAAACAGATTAGAGTGGGACAGCTGTGAGTGTGAGTCTAGGAAAGTCAGGATGATCCAGGATTACAGTCAGTTTTGTATACAGCTGCGGCACGAACGCCGACACCAACGAACGCATCAAGGTTGAAATTCAAGCGTGATTTCCTTTTGTCTTTGCTGCGTGTTGAGGTTTCGGGCCTCGCCTCATCTACGGGGGATTTCAGAGTGTGTGTTATCGGGTGGAGGGATGATCTAATGAGTCAGGAAGCCCTGCTTCTGCACCACAAATCTGCCCTTCGTCAGCTCAGACGCAGAGAGCACACTCAGGAAGATTTCTAGTTGCATAACTCGGTTAAACTAAAAAAAAAAAAATCCTGCATCAGTGCTGCACTGTGTGTCGGAGGCTGGGAAGGAAGGCTAAAGAGAAGCTAAGGTGACCTCGAGGAAGAGGAAGGGGAGATGTGAGGACATGATGAGGACGAAGGATGCAGACAGTGTGAGGAGCAGGGGCGCCACTAAGGAGGGGCTGAAGTGGGGCAGCAGGTCTCTCTCTTGATTTGATTTGATTTATTTATTTAACAGGAAAAGATTATTAA